GCAGTGTGCGGTGAGGGTGATCTTGACTCTACTAAAGTGCTTCTGGGCTTTGGTAGTGGGGTTCCTAATCTGAGAAGGCACGTTGGAACAGCCAGGTTTTCAGGTTCTTTCTGAAAACCGCCAAAGTAGGGGCCTGTCTGAGATCTTTCGGGAGGGCGTTTCCAGTCTTCAAAACCATGTAGAACATGTTGCAGCAGTCTATTTAAGACGATTGGTGCTGGTATGGCTGTACCAGGAGCTCCAACTTTATTTTTTCTATTATCTGTTTTGCAGTTATAGGACAGGCCTCCTGTCCATCATAATTAAGCTTTGGTTCCGCCCCTTGTTCTGGGCTCTGGGAGGGAAAGGAGCCATTTTTTGGGCAGTCTCACACAAGGTAGCTAAGCTATAGGACGTAGACCAGCTCGTCCCGTAGAAAAGCTTCCTTTCTCAAGAGCATCCAGGGGAATTAACCATCCAGGGAAAAAGTAACATCCAGGGATACAGAAGCAGAAATTTCAGGAGAAAGGTCCCAAAAGCTCTGGCTGAGAGCTCACAGCCTCTCAGCCTCACAGCATCAGAGGGAACAGCCCTGATGTTTCTAAGAATTCTCGAAGGGAGAACAGCATTACAGATCCATGGAACTCCAGCTGAAATATCTTCAAGCCTCGGCTGGTAGGTCTACTCGATACCCAGACGCATTTGGAATCGGTAGTAGGTCCCACACCAATGAGGCATAGATAGAAAGCAGCCTGGGAGAGGTTAAAAAGGGTTTTTCCTACAGAGAAAGTTAATTAATTAAAGTCAGGTGCCAGTTCATTGAGGACTAGACTAAGAAAGCCTTGAAGTGCTGTTTGAACCATTGAAGATTTGTTGTTTGTTCCATAATAAAGACTTTGTTGCATCATCAAAGACTCTAAAGACCATCACTTCAGAAAAATCCCTGCGAACCTCTCTTTGAGGACCCCCTGGCTTCCTGCTGGGCTTAAAGTATACGTCCTATAGAAAAGTACAGCTGTTACAGGCCCAGCGCACGACAGACACTATTTGAGTAGTCTCTTTGCCAATCTGTACGCCACCCTGAGTCGCCTTTGGGCTGTAAAGGGCGGGATAAAAATGTGATAAAATAAATAAACAATAAATAAATAATGAGAACATGGACCACCTGTATTTATAAATTTTTGGGTGCTACAGTAAGCTGAAACAGGATTGCCTGTTATGAATATTTTAATGGTAATACTATTGTTTGGTTGTTTTTGTTCTTTAGAAAAATCAGCAAGTGCTTTTTCTTTTTCACTGTGCTTTTGAAAATTATGAGCAATTCAATGATTTCTCACTCAGCTGCTGGTCTTCTTGTATTCTTAATTGAAACTCTGTTTGTTAAGGGGTCTGCAATTATTACGCACAGCTACATTTTTATTTTTATGATTCAAGTCATTTTGAGAGGTGCTGTCAGAAAAGAAGTGGAATAAATATGTGTTCCATGAGAAAAATCATACTGGAACCATGTTGACCTGAGTTATATCTTTTTACCTTTGGCCAAAAGTACAATGGTACTCATCCACAGCTCACAAACTAACCTATATGTGTTGCAGCATAAAAGTGTACTTGAGAACCTCCTAGTTTTTGAGATCAATAAGAAAAGAATCCATATTAAGAATGTTGCTCATTAGCAATGAAAAGACAATTTGATAGCTAAGCTAGCTTCTTTTAACCGTTCTTGTTTTGCATTCAAAACGTGGGAATGCACATCTCGCTACAGTGTCAAAATGACAGTAATTCTGCACTTAGTCGAAACTACTGTCTCAAGTTGGGTTATTATTTATTGCAAAGGCTCGATAATGGTATAATTTGGAGGAGAAAACTATAAAACTTTGATTTTTTTAAAAAATCGGTATTTGTATTGCCGAAGAGTTGTAGTTCTTAAACCAGCTATGGGCCCCTTTGAGAATGTGATGGAAGCTATGGACTCACATGTCATAAAAACACACATAAATGTCCGCATTATCAAAGTTGCATACCATTCATTTTGCTGCCTTAGGAATTGATTTTGTTCACAAGGAATGGCTTGGAAGAAAATAATTCATGGTGTGTTTTTGGCAACGTGTACAACAATTTTAAGATTTCTAAATTCATATCTGACATTTGAGGCTCAGGTGTCCGCAGTGGCCAGGGGGCCTTCACACAGTTAAAACTTGTTCGCCAGCTACAATCATACCTCGAAAAGCCTGATTTGGCCAGGGTGGTCCTTGCCTTGGTTACATCCAGAATGGACTACTATAGTGCACTCTACATGGGGCTGCCTTTGAAGACAGTTTGGAAACTGCAGCTACTGCAAAGGTCACCTGCCAGATTACTAACTGGAACTAGCTATAGGAAACATACCATGCCACTGCTGAAGCAGCTCCACTGGCTTCCAACAAGTTTCTGGGCACAATTCAAGATGCAGGTTATTACCTATAAAGCCCTATATGCTTCAGATCCAACCTATCTTTGAGACCACATCTCTTTGTATAAACCAGCACGGGCTCTGAGATCGACAGGGGAGTCCCTTCTCTCCGTCCCATCACTGTCTCAGGCGTGGTTGGTGAGGACGAGAGAGAGAGCCTCTCTGTGGTGGCCCCCTGGCTCTGGAATGCCCTCCTAAGATAAATTAGATTAGCCCCACCCTTCAATCCTTCCATTCCAATCTGAAAACATGGATGTTCAGACAGACCTTTGACCTTGAATAGGTTGAATGGGTCCATATAAAGCTGACACTTGGCACCTTGCGAATTGACTGCAGTTAGTTTTATCTACTGTTGTTTTAAAATGGTATTGTTTTGATTTTATCCTACATGTGTTGACAGGGGTTGTTGTTATAATATTATGTGAATTGGTTTATACTTTTGTGCTGTTTTTACCTGTTGTATGTTATATGTGCACACTGGAGTGCGTTGTAAGCTGCCCCGAGTCCTTTTGGGGAGATAGTGGCAGGATATATGATATTATATAATGATATTATAATTATATATGTATATTACATGTAATATTACTAATAATATTACAATATAATGGTATAGTACAGTATAGTAATATTTAATACTGATATTGTACTATGCTAATAATATTATATGTGTGTATATATATATATATATATATATATATATATATATCAGTATATTCTGGTATATAAGACTACTTTTTAACCCAAGAAAATCTTCGCAAAAGTCAGGGGTCGTCTTATACGGGTGTAGTCTTATGCATGGGAGTCGTCTTAACTCTATATTTTAACTGGAAAAGTTGGGGTCGTCTTATACGCCCAGTCGTCTTATATGCCGGAATATACGGTACTTATATTATTATTATTTTGTCGTGTCAGGAGCGACCTGAGAAACTGCAAGTTGCTTCTGGTGTGAGAGAATTGGCCGTCTGCAAGGACGTTGCCCAGGGGACGCCCGGATGATTTTGATGTTTTATCATCCTTGTGGGAGGCTTCTCCTCATGTCCCTGCATGAGGAGCTGGAGCTGATAGAGGGAGCTCATCCACCTCTCCCCGGATTCGAACCTGCGACCTGTTGGTCTTCAGTCCTGCCGGCACAGGGGTTTAACCCACTGCGCCACTGGGGGCTCCATATAATATATTGTATGTATATATTTCTTGTAAGTCGCTCTGAGTCCCCTTTGGGGTGAGAAGGGCGGCATGTAAATATCATAAATAAATAGTTTATTATTATTACTAAAACAGAAGACTTTTCAAGGACATGGCAAGAGATATCAGGAGAAGGCTTTGCTAAGTTTAGTTTCACAACCCTGTGTTTCTTTATGTGCTCCCTGCAAATAACTTGCTCCTATTCTTATCTCATTCGTGTTTTTAACATTTTATTTTGTAAATGTGGCCCGCCCATTGTCATTGCAATTGTGTTATTGTATGTTATTTTGTTACTGCATTCATTTGTTGTTGATTTTTTTGTCAATGTAATTTGATGCTGTTGCTTGTTGCTTATGTTTTGGTTTTATTTTTGCTGTAATATGTTGTCCGGTGCTTGGCCCCATGTAAGCCGCTCCAGGTCCCCATTGGGGAGATGGTGGCGGGGTATAAATAAAGATTATTATTATTATTATTATTATTATTATTATTATTATTGTTATTATTATTAAGGAATAGGGTTGCATTTATTTTAGGCTCGAAGACAGATGTAGGTCATGTCACTATAAACCTAAACTCTGAGCATTGTCTCTTTTGATGTCATAACTTTCTGTCTTTGAGGAGAAAGGATTTGATTGATTTATTTTTACTTACCATATTTATACCCCGCCCTTCTCAACCCCATAGGGCACTCAAGGCGGCTTACATATATAGGCAGCAATTTGACTGGATTTATAATGAGCTAATATCATTTTTGGATTAGATTTAAGAGAGTATCAGGTTTCAGTGCTTTTGCAAATTACTGTTAACAGTGATGAAATGCTCTAAATTAAATGTAGGCATTTGTCATATAATATTTCTGTGAGATGTAATTTCCCTCTCTCCTTGATTTTTTTTTTTTTTTGCCATTACTGATAATCCGCTTACATGTATTTTGTGCTAAATGTGATATAACTTTATAGTGCACCCATTTCCCTTTTAGTCCTAACAGGGTCTCTAAGAACCTTTTGTGTTAATCTCTTTCCCTTTTGGTTTGTTTGGTGGCTTTATCTACCCCTTTCTCTGCTCTCGCGTACATCTCTCCGTCACCTTCTCCACTTTGTGGACTGAAAGACCAATTCAGTGTCGAGGGCACAGACTGTTTAACATTTTCTAAATTTTATATGACAAATGTCTGCACACTAATAACAAAAGGCTCAGGGCCAAGCTCATGTTCCTTTGTTTTATTATTTATTTAAAGCAACGAAGTGATGCGTAGCCTTTTCTCTCGGCACAGATGAGTACTGTTTTAGAGGAAGATTAAGCAGCTTAACCGTAGTATTATTTGCAGGTTTAATGCTCAGAGAGAAAAGTAATTGTCTAATTCCCTTTTTTTTCCCCCCTTCCTCCACAGTAATTAACAAAAGTCAAAGGCAACAACTGGAATCTGTGAGCTACTCCTCCCGCTATGCTCTGGGTCTTTTTTATGAAGCTGGCACACAGATTGATGTCCCTTGGGCAGCACAGTACATCTCCAATAATCCCTGCATACGCTTCATCTCCATCGATAATAAGAAGCGCAATATAGGTCAGTGCTCCCATTATTCCTTTTAAACACAATAACAATGAAGGGTGTAGATCATGGCGGCAGGGGGGTGGATAGAATCCGACTTAATTGAGTGTTGCTATTCTGAAAGGCACAAGTTAATGCTACGCCATAAGGAATAATAAGAAAAGAAACGTAATGTCACATTTGGCCCATGATAAAATGCACAGTGAACCAGAGGAGGCGGCATTTCTGAATGAAAAGGAAAATACATTGGCCAGCACATGGTTCATATTACAGCTTTTTATGAAAGCAGCGTGAGAGGGTTTATTTTTAAAAGAAAACATCAAAATGTTGCTGTTCCAAGCAATCGTCCTTGTTCTATTGTTTAATGTTTGATTCATGCATGTCCCAATTTCTTCCACCATCCACCCACAGTTTTACAATCCCCTCTATCCCCCCGCAAGCAGCTCAGATACAGAAATGGATCATATAGTCATGACTGATGAACCCCTATCAGCATCAGAGTGTGTGCGACAGAGGATCCAAGAAGCTGAAAATTGGGCCCAGGGAAATTGGTTTATCCTCATTCTAGCAAATGGAAACATATAGATTCTGCACAGAAAGGGGAGCACACCACCATGGTAATGCAAATAGTGTGATAAACAACCATGTCTCCCTGCAATCTGAGAAATCAGAGGGCAGCTGGACTGTAGATGTTGCTAACAATGGTACCTAAGTCAAGGACAATTTCTCAGGGCTGTAGCACAGAGAGGAAGGTTTAAAAACACAAAGCTGCCTTACACTCACCTTTAAAAATGTACGAGTGCAAACCACACACATTTGTTGTGGAAGGCTTTCATGACCAGAATCATTGGGTTGCAATGAGTTTTCTGGGCTGTATGGCCATGTTCCAGAAGCATTTTCTCCTGACATTTCATCCACATCTACATCTAAACCAAAGTGCTGTTCCAGCAGTCACTAGCCAACCCCTTTGCAATGCCAGAGATACAGCTTAATGGTGTAACATTAGAAAATGTTGACCATTTCCGCTACCTTGGCAGCCACCTCTCTACCAAAGTCAACATCAACACCAAAATACAACACTGCCTGAGCTCTGCGAGCGCAGCATTTTTCCGAATGAAGCAGAGAGTGTTTGAGGACCGGGACATCCGTAGGGATACCAAGGTGCTTGTTTATAGAGCTATTGTCCTCCCAACCCTGCTATATGCCTGTGAAACGTGGACTGTCTACAGACGTCACATGCAACTCCTGGAACGATTCCATCAGCGCTGCCTCCGGAAAATCCTGCAAATCTCTTGGGAAGACAGCGGACAAACGTCAGCGTGCTGGAAGAAGCAAAGACCACCAGCATTGAAGCGATGGTCCTCCGCCATCAACTCCGCTGGACCAGCCACATTGTCCGGATGCCCAACCACCATCTCCCAAAGCAGTTGCTCTACTCTGAACTCAAGAACGGAAAACGGAATGTTGGTGGGCAGGAAAAGAGATTTAAAGATGGGCTCAAAGCCAACCTTAAAAACCCTGGCATAGACACTGAGAACCGCGAAGCCCTGGCCCTTGAGCGCTCCAGCTGGAGGTCAGCTGTGACCAGCAGTGCTGCAGAATTTGAAGAGGCACGAATGGAGGGTGAAAGAGAGAAACGTGCCAAGAGGAAGGCGCGTCAAGCCAACCCGACCGGGACCGCCTTCCACCTGGAAACCAATGCCCTCACTGCGGAAGAAGATGCAGATCAAGAATAGGGCTCCACAGCCACCTACAGACTCACAAGAATTCTGATCCTGGAAGACTATCCTACTCAGCCAACGAGGGATCGCCTAAGTAAGTAAGTAAATAAAGTATGGCAGGCATTCTGTTGGAAACTAGACAAGGGAGATTTATGTATCTGTGGAAGGTCCAGCGTGGGAGAAAGAACTCTTGTCTGTTGGAGGCAGGTGTGAATGTTGCAATTAATCACCTTGATTAGCAATGAATAGTCTTGCATCTTCAAGGCCTGGCTGATTCCTGCCTTGGGGAATCTTATTTACTTATTTATTTATGTATGTCATTTCTATCCCGCCCATATCAGCCTGAAGGCGACACAGGGCGGTGTACAAATCGGCAACAATTAGATGCCATATATAAAAATACATACATTGGTTAAAAGCAAAAAATCACATCACAATACAGTTAAAAACCATAAAAGCAATAAACAATAAAAATTATAAAAACTATGTCTTCTTGTTCAGTTCCTCAAACGTTCCATCATCTTAGAATCATAGAATCAAAGAGTTGGAAGAGACCTCATGAGCCATCCAGTCCAACCCCCTGCCAAGAAGCAGGAATATTGCATTCAAATCACCCCTGACAGATGGCCATCCAGCCCCTGTTTAAAAGCTTCCAAAGAAGGAGCCTCCACCACACTCCGGGGCAGAGAGTTCCACTGCTGAACAGCTCTCACAGTTATCGCATGGCATAAGAAATGGATCTGGTAGATTAATAGATGATTAATTTGAATAATCCAATTTTTAAAAATACTAAAATATATTAACGACTGTCTTAGCCGTTCCTAGTTCATATTCCAATTTGAGTTTATCTGGTCATGCTGAAGTTCCAAACGCATGCTTAAAGAGCCAGGTTTTCACTCTTTTTCAAAAGGTCAGGAGGGAGGGGGCCGATTTAATATCCCTAGGCAGGGAGTTCCACAACTGACGGCCACCACAGAGAAGGCCCAGTCTCTTGTCCCCGCCAGACATCCCTGTGAAGCAGATGGGATCGAGAGCAGGGCCTCCTCAGACAATCTCAAGTTCCTGGAAGGTTCATAGGGAGAGATGCGTTCAGATAGATAAGCTGGACCGGAACCGTTTAGGGCTTTATAGGCTAAGGCCTTTGTTGGAAGGTGCTAGCTGGCCCTGATTGTTTCATGTCTGGATTTCACTGTTTTCAGAGTGTTGTTCTTTATTTACTGCCCTGATTTTAGAGGGTTTTTTAAATACTGGTAATTTTCATGGTTTCCTCCTTTTTCTTGAAATTGTCCACATGCTTGTGGATTTCAATGGCTTCTCTGTGTAGGCTGACATGACATATAAACCTCTCTTGTCTAATTTCCAATATACCTCACAACCTCTGAGGATGCCTGCCATAGATGTAGGCGAAACGTCAGAAGAGAATGCTTTTGGAACATGACCATACAGCCCGGAAAACTCACCGCAACCCAAACCACACATAGTTTGCTTCCAAGCCTCCAAAGCTACACATTGTGCTATGGACCCAGTGATGTGCTAGATATGTGTGGAAATGACAGTGCTTTCAATATCACAGTTGTTCGGACCATAAAGCCATGATCAAATACTTCCTTTTTCATCCTCTTCTGAACTGACAGAACGTAGAAAGAGATTAGAGCCTCTGGTCCAGAATGACCCGATAGACAACTGACCGGTCATTTTTGAGGAAAATAGACATCTTCATCTAAAATGTGCTCATTAATGCAGTGGGGTCCAAAAATCGCACGGCATAAGAAATGGATCTGGTAGATTAATAGATGATGAATTTGAATAATCCGATTTTTAAAAATACTAAAATATATTAAATGTATTATTTAAACATTTCCAGCACTTAAGTAGCCTATTCAGGCTCTCAAAAGCAGCTTTGTAGATATTAATTCCTTGCTTTTTGTCTACTTGTTTTATGTAAAAGAGAAATTTTGATTTGCATTTGTGAACATCTGACACCAGATTTAATACACTATACTAGGATATACTGTTGACCCCATGAATTTAGTAAATAGGGATTTACTACTTTTAAAGTTGAATAATAACTCCCTTTAAGCCAATCATATTTTCTCTTTATCTTTCTATTCATCGTGGCAAATTTTCTGTGTATGTGCAAGAGTGAGTCTACATTTTTTATTGTTCTCTTCATTGGAGTTCTTATCTAGACTGTATATCTCAAAGCTGTCCTCTCTGAGTTGAACTGACACTCACCTTGAGGACACAGAGAGAGAGAAAGAGGGAGAGAAGAAAGCCCATCAGTTCTGCTTTCTCTCACAATGGGTTTTTCAAACCTCAGGTTCTCTTTGTTGTGAACATGTGACTTGGAGATTTTGGTAACTTCTTCAAAAACAAAGCAAAGTAAAATTCTCCTACATAAGTACCAGCTAAATTCAGTAGGTGAAGATACTTCCAGCATGAAGAGAACTTGTTTGTCATTTAGATATGAAAAATTACGAATTTCTCTGGGGACGAGGAGAGTGATAAGATGGTTAGATGTGTGTGTATGTGTCTTCAGGTTACCTACCGACTTATTACCTACCGACTTATGGCAAACTCATTTTTATGTAGGGCCACATCAGCCTTGCAGTTGCCTTCAAATGGCTGTTGAATCCATAAACGGAGAATCTGTGGATACAGAGGACCAACTATAATTTGTTTACATAGTGGTCGGTTCTTTTTAGATTTTACCCAGTTTTGGCCCTCAGATGTTATTGAATGGCATCTCCCATCACTCTTGATTATCTGTCATTTATTTATTTCATATCAAAAGCATTCCATAAATTAGTATAAATTGATAAAAATAGAAGGAGCACAGGTGACTAAATATCCTTTGACCAAAAACGGGCAACAGCAATGGCATTGTCTGTAGCTTCCAACAACTCTTCCTCTGTACATGAGGCAGGGCACAGTGAACAAGCATACGGATGCGGAGTTGTCTGTTCTGCTCCACAGTCACACAAGGTGTGGGATTCTTTTAAGTCAGTGTTTCTCAACCTTCCTAATGCCCCGACCCCTTAATACAGTTGCTCGTGTTGTGGTGACCCCCAACCATAACATTATTTCGTTGCTACTGTTTTGAATCGTCATGTAAATATCTGATATGCAGGATGTATTTTCATTCACTGAACCACATTTGGCACAAATACACAATACGCCCAAATTTGAATACTTTGGGCTTGGGGCAGACAGGGGGTTGATTTTGTCATTTGAGAGTTGTAGTTGCTGGGATTTATAGTTCACCTACAATTAAAGAGCATTCTGAACTCCAAC